GGAATGAAGCCGCCACTGTCTTAGGCAGAGGTCCCCCGGAACAGCATGTGAAAACAAGTCGTTTATGCTGTTAAATGAGGCTGTTGGACTGACTCTTGCCAAGGCAGGATTCTCAAACATGCAGGCAGAGAGGGACAGAAAACAGTATGAGATCAGAGGGTCCCGGAACTTGTGTTATGAGTCTGGCTTGATATGTTCAATTTCCAGTTGAGAGTTTATCATTTTGGAAAATAAGAGCTCGATTCTCAGAGCGGTTTAGTCACCTTCTAATTCTTGGTGTTTCTAGAGCATTGATAACAAAGATTTCAGTCATGAAAAAAAAAAACAAACCCAAGTAGTTTATTTAGAAGATGATCCCAGGAAGCACTCTTGGTGGGGGAGTGGGGAATTGAGAACAGAAGGAAGCTAACGAAAGGGAGTTTTAGGCAACAGAGACTCAGTCCTACCGGGGAACCCTGGGAGGGAGTGTAGCCCGTTGCAACTCAAAGTGTAGTCTGTGGACCAGCATCATTAACATCTCCTGGGAGTTAATCAGAAATGCAGAATCTCAGGTCCCACCCAACACCTATATTGTCGGAATCTGCATGTTGACAAGGTCCCCAGGACCTTGACCTTCAATGCATATTGAAGTCAGAGATGCACCAATCTAGAACCCATTTCAGTTACCCCATCCAAGGGGCGAGGAAGCTGGGGCAGGCATCCTCCAAGTTTCGTTTGTCATTAGCTGAGGTCTGCTCCTGGGGTTTTTAACTCACTGGTGCTCTGGCCTCTCCACACATACGCTGGGGAAAAGCCCCCTGGCAGACACTAACTGTGCTTGTCATGGACCATGGTCAGCGTGTGCTAGAATGGTGAGTGCCGAGGATGCGGGCAGGTCACTGACAGTCTGCTACAGTCCACCCTTTGTGCCACTCAGATGCACTCAAGCCCCATGTGGAGTTCACTCTGGCCTGGCATTGCTTCTTTAAGATGGCGGCTGGTCACAGTGTCTTAGAAAGAAGAATTACGCCTGGAGGATGAATGGCATAAGCTGTGGTCCTCAGCTGCAATTGGTCCTGAATCCCTAGATGATTCTTCTCATCTCCTTCCTCTGCCATGCATCCTATATTCCCCTCTTCCTTGGTCAGCACTTCAGCTGGTCCAGGTTGCTTTCCTGGTGAAGTCACCTAGATCTTCACTCCTGAGAGGTCTGAACACTTGGTCATCGGCCCTGGTCAGGCTCTTGTTACTGCAACTGCCTGTTTATGGTTATTGCCAGGCAGGAAGTCCCAAGACGCACCTCAGTGAATCCCCCTGAGTTCCAGACCCTGAATACTCCTTCCCGCCCCCATTATGAGGCAGTGATCCTAACCCCTCATGTTAATCAGAATCAGTAACCCCTGCTAATAATTGACCTTTCTTTGCCTGATGATCTAATGACATGAACCAAAAATGGCCAGGCAGCCCCTATAACTATAATTTTTTTTTTTTTTTTTTTTTTTTTTTTTTTTTTTTTTTTTTTTTTTGCTTTTTTTGTTTTTGGCCGCTCTGTGTGGCTTGCAAGATCTTAGTTCCCTGACTAGGGATCGAAACTGGGCCCCCTGTAGTGGAAGCACAGGGTGCTAACCACTGGACCACCAGGGAATTTGCAAGCCCCTATAACTTTAGGTTTAGGAGAACCTTTACTGTTTTCCCTGGTGGAAGCATCTTTCCCCAGGAACCAGGATTTCTAGTCCGGGAGTGTCTAGAATCGTGGGGACGGGAAGCACAAATTTCTGAGGTGGGCCACTGGCAATGGTGGTCACAGGGACCACTTCCACTCTCCCCCTAGGTTCCCGGACCCACGTGTTCTGGCTTTCAGGGACAAAGCATTGTTTGAGAACCTCTGGCTCAAAGTATATCCTGCACCCCACCCTCCAGGGTGCATCCCCAAGTTAGTGCCTTAGCTGCGCCTTTAATTCCAACATTCTTTTAGGCCTGCGGTCTCTGGGTCACATGGTGTCTGGTAGGACAAGTGGATCCCATGGTCATGTGCTCATTGCTGCACCTCCTTCACTATAAAGCAGGTCCCTTGTCTGAGGTCCTGTTTTTTTATTTTTAAATTTTTTTTTAACTTAACATCTTTATTGGAGTATAATTGCTTTATAATGTTGTGTTAGTTTCTGCTGTATAACAGTGAATCAGCTATATATATGTATATATCCCCATATCCCCTCCATCTTTCATCTCCCTCCCACCCTCCCTATCCCACCCCTCTGGGTGGACACAAAGCACCGAGCTGATCTCCCTGTGCTATGAGGCTGCTTCCCACTAGCTATTTTGGTAGTGTATATATGTCAATGCTACTCTCTCACTTCATCCCAGCTTACCCTTCCCCCTCCCCGTGTCCTCAAGTCCATTCTCTACATCTGCGTCTTT